AAAAAGGCTTTTCACGGCGGTTAAAAGTGGCTTTTCACGGCGGTTTTGAAGGCGAAGTTGATAAAGGCGACGTTGAAAGGTAAAGAAAACACGGCGGTTCAAACCGCCGTGGAAATCGATTTTCCACGGGGTTTTCTATATAACCGCCGTGGAAAATTGATTTTCCACGGCGGTTATATAAAAAACCGCCGTGGAATATTCTTTTAACGGCGGTTATATATATAACCGCCGTTATTAAAATAATTTTTTTTAATAAAATTCTGCTTGATTTTCATTTTTACCACCCTGCAGTTTACAGTTCCAAATAAATGTAGGCAGTGCAGATCACGCAGAACAAGATCAATTAGCTAGTTGATATATACAGCATTGAAATTTCTTTTACACAATTCGAAAATAGGGAAACCGGCCAAATAATAGAACTAGGTGGTTAATTAAGACCAAGGAACACGTATTGGCTAGGTCCAACAATTCTGAAATAGAAGTAACTACTTCTCTGTACAATGGAAATCATGAACATGTACATATAAGAGGGAACCGAGAGAAAACATCTAACAATGAATTTTTTGAGAAATAACCTATCTATTTGAAAGCTAAATTTCAATTTTTTCTACCAATGTTGTTGACAAAGTGTCCCTCATCAAGTTGATGTCATCCATGAGATATGGCGCAGTATTTTGAAATATCTGTTAATAAAAAATAACATAGTAAACTTAGTCAAAAATGTGAAATGAATTGAAGAACGTCATGCAACGTAACTCATCTTTACCTCGTCTAATTTCTCAGTCGTTCCTGTCTCAATTATGTCATTCATGTAGCGGATGACATAATATCCACACTCAACATGTCCTTGTTGACAACGGTACTAAAAAAATAAGATATAAATTTGAATATTAGACATTATTGATTATAAACATTAACTTTAATTCATCCAAAAATGTTTAAAAGTTAGTTCAAAACAACATATACCTTTGGAAGAATCCATGTTGGTGCTTGTCTATTTTGTTTAATCGCCACAACATTAAAAGTATGAAAAGCCCTATCAACTTATAAGAGAAAATGATATTAGAGCATGCTTGTATAAACTTCACAAGTAATAAATATATAAATAAAAACTAACGTGTCGATGACATCTTTGGTTTCTTCGGATGGACTTCCACAGAGTGAATCGAACCAGTAAACTTTGTTGTCAAAAGGGGCACAAACAATTAGAGTCCAATGATAACTGCAAAAGGCAAACCATGTTAATTATAACCCGACACATACAACTTGTATATCTCAAATACAATAATACACTTACCCTTCCACGTAAGGTGCAAAATATATTAGCTTTCTGGTCTGAGTCATTGTGGTCATAATGTAGATTGACCTTGCTTCCACAGTATTAAATTCTTTCTGCACCCTTTGAGGACACATAAAGCCATATGTTCCTTCAAGTCCTCCGTTTCGACAGATTTGATTAAAGTGCCTGTTGTTCAAGTAAAAAACATTAGGACATGCATGAAGTATAATATGTAATAAGAAAATGATATTGTAACTTACAAAATAGCGAGCTGCATGAAAGCTATATCAAGCTCCTCAAAGTTGAGGAACTGAACGAGGTCCCTCTTGTCAATGGTGAAGTCGTATGTTATATCTGAACCCACAACCCCCAACGGCATCTTGAAAGTCACAGGCTTATCCATGTTTGGCACCATGGAATGAAGAACCTCCAAACTGGAATACATAAGCGCAACATCACAGGAAGAGGCAAGAGTACAGGATCAGATGATGCGCTCGTTGTGGCCTTCTTTGCTGCCGCCTTCTTCACCATTGGCTTTGCAATAAGTCTCTTTGGCCACAAAATGAAATGTCCTTTAGCTTGGGCCAAGAGTCGAACCTCATCAGTAGGATTGGGCACTGGTGTACCCCCTGACCACGAACAATCCTCTCCACTGTCACCCTTGCTTGATTGCTCGGAATTTTGTTGCCGTGAATCGTTGTGCCCATGAATGCTCGACCACTAGCAACATGAACAGGTGAATTTTCATAATCCACATAGAGAGAACACGGCATCCCATTGTCTTCGACAGGGTCAGGGCTAGGGTCAGGGTCAGACACTGTCAGTGGCTGTGTCTGATTATTACTGCCCTTCCGCTTTTTATCACAGGTGAACCCTGAAACATAATATGAAATTAGTTAAGAAACATAAATAAGTTTAAATGGATCAAATGAATCTTTAGAAGATTTAAAAAGATGTGTGATTATTACCTGGGAAGGTTCAGATACTCGGGGCATCTGGAATCCACTCGTACCCATCATCATCAGAGTCTGTTGAAACTTGGCATCGAATTCGTCACGTATCTTTTGCATCTCTGCCATGTGTTGTTGACTTAGTTCAGCTCGAACTCTCTCTGTTTCTTCCTGTAGTCGTTGGTCGAGCTTCTCTTTAGATACCATGTTAGCAGAGGATGATCTAGTGCTTCTTCGTGAAGCAGAGCCAAAAAATTCTTTAATACCAATCCCTTTAGGGGTCCCTCGGACTCTTCCGGGATGGTCAGCCTTTCCAATAGCAGTGGCCAAGATATCCATCCGTCCTTGAGGGATGAATGTACCTTGAAATAATTGCTCCTCAAGTGTATCCTATATCATTAAAACAACAAATTCAATTTAAGATAATTGAAAAAAACAATTAATGAAGCATAATTCTTAAATATTACTTACAATCCTCTCAGCAACAGCAGCAGACTGTGGAGTAATGTATTGACCCTTTTTAATCCTCGCCGCCTTCCATTTTTCTTGGCGAGAAGGACGCTCAATAGATGGCATGTAGCCAGTAGGATCTGAAGCAGCAGCCATCTGTGCATTCTTCAATCGTTCCTCCATCATACTTCTTTCCAACCCACCATACCCTGCACGAGACATGGTATGTGGGTATACATTCTGCTCAGATATTTGTTTGTTCTTCTGACTCAATGCCTATGACAATGAAACCAAATCGACAAAATTAGTTTAGTTAAATAAAATATGACCTGATTAAAAATTAAGTTTGAAGAAACCAAACCTGAAATGCAGGGTCTTCACGTTGCTTCACAAAATTCTCCCATGCCTCTTCACTAATAAATGAATATCGTTCCTTAGGATGCTCACCCTTTCTTTTTCCATTAATATAATGTGTTGTAAGCATGGACCTAAAATCCCTCCACCGTTCAGCAATTTGCTTCAACAGACGGTCTCTCATTTGTTTAGTGGCAGGAATATCAAATGTCAGCTGCATGCAATACAATAATAGCATAGAGTTATAAAGTAAATAAGCAACTATAATTGAAAAAGTAGAGAAAACAATGCACAATATACCAATATATCCTCCCAAAGGTTTTTCTTCAAATCTTTGTCCACCTTCTTCCAGTTAGGAATGTCAATGCTAATCTTACTGCGTGCGAGATAACCCACATAACTAGTAAATTGAGCCCCATCCTTTCCTATAGGCTTCAGATCATCATCAAACTCCACTGTAATCCTCATAGGCTGTGTGCTCTCATCACGTAAAGCTAAATGCCTCATATGGGTTGGCCCTCTACCCTTTCTCCGGCTAGTAAAAGAGTTGTCCTCACCAGAACCCTGTTGACTGGATCCGTCCATTTCCTGTTTAAAGAACAATGAATTAATAAATGTAAGAATAAAAAATATCAAGTTAATATAAAACATTATATTATTAAGTATATTTAGCAAAAAAATTATCAAAAAATTCATTTGAGGCTTACAACGATTATCCTCCCAAATTCCTTCACAATGATCATCTCTAACAGCATAGTCATCATCTACCAAATCTAATTCAACTGCTTTAGGTCGAGTAGCTGTGAAAGGCGGGGTTTCATCAAGATTAAGCTCTAAGTCACCATCATCTCCACCAACTCCTTGCCTTTTACCTTGAAGCACGATAGACAATTTCTTTTTTGCTAGATCGGGAACGAAGAACACTTGTTTTGCTTGACTTGCCAAAATAAATGGCTCGTCTCCATATCCAAACCTCTCAAGATCGACCGAAACAAATCCAAATTCTTCATCCACTTGCACAGCATTACTATTAACCCACTTACATTTGAAGACGGGAACTTTAAACTTGGTATAACTAACCTCCCATATCTCTTCTATTATTCCATAATAGGACATTGCCGCCAACATTGGGTTTCTGTCTTTAGAACTAGCAAAATGCATGGCTTCCGCTACTACCATCACCCACTATTCTGCATAGTACTCTTATCGTCTTGGGTTTTTGTGTAAAAAGAATAACCATTTATATCATATCCACCCCAACACAAAACCTCAAAGAAGGCCCTGCAGCTAGCCTCTGTATTGTCTCAGAAGGATTGCCATCTTTTAACACTTCTCGCTTGAACCACTCTGCAAATGACTTATTATGTTCATTAGCTAGTTGCATATCACTCTTTCTTGGATTCAAGTTCCTCAGCATATTCTTGTGAGCATTTAAGTAAGGCAAAACTTTATCCGTGTTGTTTAAAATGTATAGATGTGCCTGCATTACAACTTCTCTTGACATAGACCTCACTATGACACCCCGTGTTCCCTTGCTTCTTCTCCCCTGATCATGTCGAGATTGAGGAAGACCAACTGCCTTTACCCTATCAAGATATGCGTTACAAAACTCAACTGCCTCCTCAGCTACATATCTCTCAACAATTGATGCCTCAGGCCGATAAGGATTCTTAGAGTACCCTTTTAGGATTTTCATGTATCTCTCAAAAGGGTACATCCATCTTAAACACACAGGGCCACAAAGTCTTATCTCTCGTACAAGATGAGCTATCAAGTGGACCATAATATCAAAAAATGATGGAGGAAAATGCATTTCCAATTGAGAGAGGATCACATAACCTTCATTTTCTAATTCATCCAACTCAGCAGGATCAATGACTTTGCTGCAAATGGCACTAAAAAATATAAAGTCTTGTAATAGTATTTCTCACATCGGTTTTCATAATGCCTCGAATAGCAAGTGGAAGTAATTGTTGCATCAACACATGACAATCATGAGACTTCATTCCCGTTATCTTCAAATCTTGCATTGAAACAAGTTTGCTTAAATTAGAAGAATAACCTTGTGGCACCTTAATACTATTGACAAAACCACAGAAACTTCTTTTCTCTTCTTTTGATAATGTGTGCGCAGCTGGATGTAAATAAGCCCTCTTACCATCTCTTTCTTGTGGGTGAAGGACATTTCTTATTCCAATTTCGACTAAGTCTCGTCTTGTATTGATTCCATCTTTAGTCTTTCCACTTATATGCAAAAGTGTACCAACAAGGCTCTCACATACATTCTTCTCCACATGCATCACATCAAGACTATGCCTCACATCAAGACTTTGCCAATATGAAGATAAAAAAGACAGATCTTTTTTCCATATATTTCTCTCACCGGCAGTCTTCTTCTTCTTCTTCTTACCGAAGACACATTAATTCCCTCCACCCACTGATAAACTTCTTCTCCAGTTAATGGTCTTGGAGCCATTTCATATTCTTGTGAGCCATTAAATGCCTTTTTCAATCTACGGTAAGGGTGATACCGACTAAGAAACCTTCTGTGACCAAGGTATACTGTCTTCCTGCCATGTTTAAGTTGCATATAGTGGGTGCCTTCTTGCATATCGGGCATGCTTTATGCCCTTAACACTGTATCCTGACAAATTTCCATATGCTGGAAAGTCATTTATCGTGGTGAAGATCATGGCACGTAAATTGAAGGTCTCTTGTTTATATACATCAAACACATCAACACCTTCCTCCCATAATTTCTTCAGATCATCAATCAAAGGTGCCAAATACACATCGATATCGTTTCCCGGTTGTTTTGGCCCCGAGATCATCAAAGATAGCATGATATACTTTCTTTTCATACATAACCAAGGAGGCAAATTGTAAATTACGAGGAGCACTGGCCAAGCACTGTGTGTGCTACTAAGATTACCATATGGGTTAATTCCATCCGTACAAAGCCCTAACCGAAGGTTTCTTGGCTCGCCACCAAATTGAGGAAATTTTTGATCTATTGTTTTCCATTGAGGAGAATCTGCTGGGTGACGAAGCTTTCCATCACATATTTTCTCATCAAATGCCATCTCAAGTTCTTTGCATCTGTGGCATTAGCAAATAGACGCTTAAATCGTGGTATTATTGGAAGATACCACAGAACCTTTGAAGGAGAACCTTTGGTCATCTTATTAGAATCACCATCATCTTTCTTCATTTTGTATCTTGAAGTCCCACATTTAGGGCACTTATTCAACCCTTCATAATCATTTCTGAATAATATGCAGTCATTAGGACACGCATGTATCTTCTCATATTCCAAACCCATCGGACACAAAATCTTTTTTGCCTCATACATTCGTTTCGGAAGTGAATTCCCTTTGGGAAGAATATCACTCAGCAATTCAAGCAATTCCGTAAAACTAGCATCGGTCCAACCATTTTTGCCTTCAAATTCATCAGTTTCAATACGGTTGTCAATCTTGTGTAATCATCTTTGCACCCCGGGTATAAAGGTGTCTCTGCATCACTACACAAAGTTTCAAAGGTGGAAGAAAACTGTGTAGAGGATTCAGACCTTATATCACGAAACATATCCGAAATTCTATCACCAAAGTCTTCATTCACAACCTTCTCATTTGCAGACAGTGTAGTCTTTCTAATTTCTCCATGCCATATCCAATTTGTATACCTCAAATTTATCCCATCACAGATAAGATGCTCTTTTATCTCAGAAATACTCCGTCGACTATTGTTTAAACATTTGACACAAGGACAATAGTACAATCTATCTCCTTTACTAGGGGCATTTCTCTGAGCAAACTCAAGAAACTTTTCAACCCCATCCTCATATTCCTTGCTAATTCTCTTAGCTTTCATCCAACTACGATCCATTGTTCTACAGATTATTTAAACAATACTTTACTATCAATCAAAATTCATAACGAAGGAAAAAACATAAAATAACTAACAGATTATTTATCACTAAATTCTTATATTTATTACAAAAAAAATTATCAAAAATTCGAAATAAATATCAAAAAATTATAAAAAATTTAAAAACTTCACACTAATCAACTCCAAACATTTAAACATATTTCTAATACAGTATATAAAAAGGAATTAAGGTTTTCTCACATCTAATGCCTACCAATTAACACCAATCAACGGTTCAACCACATAAAAAATGCAAAATGAACAATACAAGCCAACCACAATGTAAAACTAACAACCCCATTTCATATATAATAGATTTTCATGGCTAAAACATTCAACAAACCAAGAAAAATTGAAAAGAATGAAAGAAGAGGATACTCACAGAGCAGAGAAGCTTTAAACGCGAAGTGAGGCGGCGGCGGACGGTGGTGGACAGCGGCAACGCACCGGTTTCCGGTTAGATAGTGGGGGGTAGGACCGGTTTTCAGTGGTGGACCACGGCTGAGCAAGAACAGACAGAAATGGGAGGCGGTCGACCACGGCGGACTGCGGCGCACGACGACAAGGCTCCAAGAGCTCAATGGAGGAGTTTAAACGGTGGGATAGTGGCGGGAATGGCCGGTAATGGCAGTTTTACGGTGGTGGGGCAGAGGGGGACCACGGCGCACTGAAGAAATGAGAAAGAAAGTGACCGAAGTCGAAGCGGAGAAAGGTTAAAGAGACACACTTTCCACGGAGGTTTTCTTAGAAACCGCCGTGGAAAGTCATACCCGCTTCAAATTATTTACAAAAATGCCACCGCGTTTTTTTCCACGTCGTTTTTCTGCTGAACCGCCGTTAGTTTGCAACGTTAAAAGTCTTTTTTCTAGTAGTGCCATCTTTGAATAAAATATTTGGTCAAACAAATAAGCTCATTAGACGTGGAACCTTGTTTTCATTTATTTTTATCTTTATGGCTATACAAAGCTTCAAAAAACTTTGTTCGTTGAGCTGTCCATTTTATCTTTTCAAGTTTCGCATTTACATGCAAAGTAGAGAGCAACGTTTAGAGATAAAAAGATAAAGGATTTGAGGTAGTTTAGGAATATTGAAGATAAATATGGATATAATAGTCACAACATAGCAAAATATTATCATTTCCCTTTAAATCTTGCAATTTTTGGGGAGAGGTTGAGAAGGGGAGGGAAAGAAAATTTTTAGAAAATTTTTCCTCCCCTCCTAAAATTTTTATGTTGTCAAACAAGAGAAAATTATTAAAATCTTTCTTCCTCCTTCCCCTTCCATCCAAATCCTTCATACCAAATGCAGCCTTATACCTCTTAGTCCCATATTTCTTAGTTCAAAATGGTAATTCCTCCACAAATTGGGCTTAAATTTGGCCCAAATCCATTCTTCACTTGAGGTAGTGAATTTACCTTCTTAGTACTCCTCTCTATCGGTATTTAATTGCCAATTAAATTTCAAATTAATCTCAACACGTTACAAGGATTTTCTATATTAATCAACTTCCTTAACTCATAAAATAATTAGCCTCAAACTTGAAGCTGCAAAATTAATCTTTAACTATTTTTTTAAATTTTCAGAAAAATAGGCCCTTATTTTGCAAAAATTAGTTTTAAAATTATTTAGGTCACTTTTGGATTTGGGCAATTTAACATCTTAATAATTTTATAAATACTCAAAATAATATTACATAATATTTTCCCTAATTTTCTTAGGCATTAAATAATTTTAATAATTATTTTTTCTTAACATCTTACCCGAATTAAGCTTTTTGATCATTAAAAAAATGTATGAGGCGCTCTAATTCTTAACATAATTTCTTTGAACCTCATAAGTACTTATTGACCTATTTTTTCAAAGTCTTAAAATTATTGTCGGAGATAGGAGAGGAAGCAACAAAGTCTACATTATATTCAATATCATCCTAGTGCAAAATTTGGTTGAATGTTCTGTTGAGATCATGAAAGTATGTTGCGAGCCTCTGCATGGAGCAGTCCTTGCATGTTACTGCCGTAGATTCATTTTAGAAAGTTGAGGACGGGTGCACGGAGAAGAGGGAGGAGTTTACATGCGAAAGAAAAGTTGGTGTAAGGAGTTTAAATAGAGTGGAAGTGGAGCTTTTGAACCATCACCACATTGAATGTTAGAGACATGTAGTTGCACAGCAACTAATGGTGGGATTGCTCCTAGTCCTTGGGTTCAGCTAGCAAAGGGGTCAAACTCTCTCACAACATGGAGGGGGCTCGATCTTGGAGTTAGTCGGGGCACTGGGAGAGGCATATTCGAAGTCAAAATCTCAACTCGTAACATGTGGGGATTTCCATGAAGCTCTCCTCATCCCAGTTTAAGCTATGATGCTGGGTAGGGTAGGGTCAACGATTAGTTTCCCTGCCCTTAAATCGTGGGTGAGCCTGACTCTTTTTTTAAAATTTTATTGACCGAAGAAAAAACTAATGGTGGGATTAAAAAAGTTCATTGTATGTGGGCTTTATTTGGAAAAGACGCAATGAAAAAGTTTATGAGAAAATCAAATCTAGTACTCTTGGACATCTAGCAAAGGCTAAAATCATTCTATCTAACTTTGGGGCAGCTAAGATATAAATGAATCAAGTCAAAATCCTATGTATTACATTGATGAATGATGACTGCACCTAGATGCGATGGACAGGTAGGTGTTTATCAATATTGACAGAGCTTATTCTCACAAGGATGGCATTGAGGATGTGGAGCCATGATCAAACACTATATAGAGAAAATTCGATTGAAGTTTTCATGCTTAATATGCAAAATGGAGATCCTTTAATAATGAAACTTTGGGTGTACCTTATTGGTCTTAAAAGGGCATGGGATGGGAATCATAGACGAGTCCACTTGAATAATGATTCTTTAGATGCAATTAAGCTTACCAAGGATGAAAATAACCTACTTCATGATAACTGGAATTTAATCCTAAAAGTCATGCAATGCTCAATGTGATTGGTTTGTTGATCTTCAAAATGTTGAAAGATAGAAGAACTCTGAAGCTGATATGCTGGCCAAGCCTTGTTTAGCAATGACCCCTGGATTTTCACTTGGTTCCTTTAGACATTTTTTGTCTGTTTGTTTCTTTCGTATAATGTAGAATAGTATTTACAACTTTTCGTGTTATTTTTTTAAAAAAAGCACCCGCCTAGATCACCCCTTAGCCCTAATCTATTTTGATTATTAATTATTAATATTTTTGTCAGGATATTAACTATTCATAATTAATATTAATTGTTATTAAATAGAACCCTTCGTGCATTGAAAAGAGGGGTTTGGATTTTTTTTTCCTTAAATGATGAAGAAAACATAGATGTTACATAGAAAAAAAAAATTTTTAAAAAGAGGCAAAAAAATTTATCTGCCCAGAAGGAACAGTGACAAGATTTATACTTTAGACATTAGCTGATTAGTCAGTTTTATTTTAAATTTGTTCGAATTAAGTAATTTGTTTAATTAATCATGCCACTACGAGGCCCATTATTTGATGCAGTAACAAAACAAAGGCAACCAAAAACATAAGCCGAATGGAGTTAAAAGGATCGGATATGATAATGGGAAAATTACGCACAGGTCCCACAGAAGATATTTTATTCATCTAAGATCTTACTAAATGTCAAAATTACTGACAGATCCTAAAGGACCTTAGAGTAATATATTCTATTTGTAAAATGATATTACTGCCCCTCACATTCCAAATTCACATTTGCTCTATCATTGTGATTTACAACCTCAGCAGCGATTATTAACAACCCAATGAGAAGATATTAACAACCTAAGCAGTATCCGTTAA